GGACCTGCGAGATGCATCTGACCCTTCAGTCGATCCATCTACTGTTGACTGAAGCCTCATTAGAAAGAAGTCTCAATGGAAGGGAGGCTGTCAAGAAGCCATTATTAAGGAAGGGAAACAGGGAAAAGCCTGTGTCATGCTAGATTACACAAGAACTGGGCTGAAAATCAGTGGGGACAACTTTATGGAGTGATGAATCCAGATTTGATATTTTTGGTTCAAATCATCATCAATTTGTTCAGAAGAGGTCAAGACTGAGCTAAAAAATTGACTCCCCTTCATTTTTAGCACACTGCCTTGTCGGAAAAATATACCTGGATAGAAAAACACACATGGATTGGCCCAGACATCAACATTATTGAAGCAGTGGGGGACCATCCTGACAGAGAACAGAATAAAAGGCAGTAACATCCAAAGAAGAGCTTTAAATGTCCTTCAGAAAGCCTGGAGAAGACATTTTTTGGAATGGAAAGGATTACCTTTGTCCTTAGACTCGGGCTCGAGAAATTTAAGAAGCTCTGGGAAAAATGGGTTGTGTACTCCCCTTTGCACTGAATAAATGAATATTACCATGATGTAAGTAGATGCTATTACTGGAACTGTGAATGTCTCCCATGCTGACCTTAAGTTTTGTATTCCCATACTGTAAAATGATAAATAAAAAGTTATAAAAAAAAAAAAAAGAAAGCCTGGAGAACTATTCCTGAAGACTACTTAAAGACATAACAAGAAGCTGCCTAAGAGAGATCAGACTACTGAAGAATAAAGTTCATCATACAAAATATTAACTCTCGATCTTGTTAAAGTTAAACAAAGTTAAACTATGTCTTTTTTATTGCTGATATTTCAATACTAACTTGGCTAGTATTGAAATATCTGCTTGGCTAAGCTAAGCTAAGCTAGCTACTATGGCTAGCTTAGCTTATCTTAGCCAAAAGGAAGGAAGGTTTGTTTTCTTTGCCAGGAAATACTAACTGCTTCCAGGATGGTATGCTGTGATGTGATAATTATGAGGATACAGTTACCCAGAAAGCTTGCAGTTACAAAACAAGTTAAGCTTTCCTTTTTAAATGGTGAATCATGCATTTACAGGGCCGTGCCGGGATAACATAGCAAAGCAAGAAGATTTATTTCCAATATATTCCAAGCCTGCTTGAAATGATAAACAAATAGTTCGTTAATTACAATTGAATTACACAAAAACATCTTCAGAGCCACATTACATCAGCACAAACTAAACCAAAAATAAATAAAATGTTCACAGTAGATCAGGTGACGAATGGACTGGCACACCTTACCTTGGAACTATATTAGTTCACTCCATTAGTCCAAATTGCTTCCCACTAAAACCTCAGCTGACACGTATCCTCCGACAGCCATGATTTATTTTTACGCAAATGGCGCTATGTTGGTTTTCAGTTGCAGTAAAACATAAAGGAGCGTGAGCATTACATCTGTAGCTGCACGTAAACATGTAGCTACAGAAAGCAAAATGCAGCTAATGTAAGCCAAAAATGCCTGCTCTTGACCCCTGTGTTCCCATTTAGTATGTGCTTTATGTGATCACGCTGTGATGCACTTTCCTGTTTAACGGTGCGCCTCATGTTGTTTTACTATGTCATTATTTGTGTGGAGTGTGCGTGAGTGCCTGTGTGTGTCTAAAGCAGCACCCTGGTATTATTCTGTGATTGCGGTGTTGATTTGTCTTTTTGTGTTGGAATCCTCACTTGGAGGATGGGTTTCGATTGCCGCTGCTGCTGCTGTGTATGTGTGTATGCTAACAAGAGATTTTGTGCCTGCCTAAATGTGTTTATATGTGTGTTTAAAGCGAATTATGTGTGTGTATTTTTGTATGTGTGTGTGCATATTCCAGAGCAAGATTGGAAGTGGGTCTATTTCTTTTGCAGTCACTGATGTGCCCCTGTGTGTGTAATTGAAATACCTGAGTTATTGACTCTCCCTCCTCTCCAAGTCAAATAACTGCTCCAGGAGTGTGTGAGTGCACTCATTTGGAGGCTCTGGGGCAGAGCAGGCAACTCTGGCAGACCAAGACCTATCAACCACAGAATACACACACACACGTGCATACCTAGTACAGAGCCTTTATGAGGCTAAATCTACTCAACTGCAGACACGCAGGCACACTGAGGCAACGTTAGAGGCAGAAAATCACACACATATGTATTAATAGAGGTGCTCACACGCACAGTCGTATGCCCAGAATACATTAGATTAACTTCAGTGGATCATATAGGAATGGAGATTTGCAGATGACATGCGGCAGCCAGTGCATTGCCTTTAGTTTCCTTATTAGTCTGCCCAGTTGATGGATGAGGTAGGGGGGAGTCTAAACCTAAGCTTATGCCAGCCTTTGGATACAAATTAGAGTTTTTTCATGGGACTTGCTTTTTGTCCTCATTAGAGGGATGCCTCCCATAATGTGACAGCATCCCTACAACCTGAGTAATACCTGACTTCTCTCCCATCGACACACACACAAACATATGCTCGCGTACATACATCTCTATTTTGCACAAACACACACGTTTCACACAGAGGAAGGCACACGTGTCTCTCCTCTCTCTTCCTCTTTCTGACAGCAGAAGTCCTGTCTCTGTGGTTGAACAACTCAGGCTTAGCCTCCTCTGTAAATGGGTGGCTGACTGCCTGACACACACACATACACACACATTCACATACGCGCTCACACACCTCCGTTTGCCTGCTCCTTCACTGACTGCTGGCTTCCTGCCCCTCACTCGCTCCATGCAGGATCACAGCCGTCTGCCAGCCTGCCCTGTTCTTCTCCATTCATCCCATTGTCACCACATTGTCCTCTGCCTCTGTCCCTCTGGAGGCTTCAAATCTCAGCTACATCCCCACTGCTTTTTTTAAAAACATTTTTTGTACATCTCTATCTTTTTTTCCCTAGCTTGCTTAATTCCTTTTCCCTCCCTTTGGTTTCTCTCTGCTCTTTTCTCTTGTCAGCTCTCTCTTCTGTGGTTTTATCTGCTCTTTCTCTGCCTCTCCTTGTATCTCTCCATCTCTCTCTCTCCCCTGTCTCCACCGGCCATTCATCCCAGCGTATTGTGTTGTATAGTGTATTGTTGCCTTAGTACAGTAGCCAGCACTGACGTCAGCTGTGGATCCACAGAGAGGACAGTGAGCGGCTGTGAGGTGTTTTCAAAGCCTTGCTGGCCGGCTTCTTGTGCCTGGCTGACTGACTTGCTGGCCCTCGAATGCCCCTGTGGGAATTTTAATGCTCGCTAATCGATCACCTCATGCCAGCAGAGGTGATAATGTGGCCAGTCCATAATTATTGTTGCTGTAAATGAAGAGTGGTGTTTGCAGCACTTCATTTTAGTCAAGCTACCAGCGTCTTTTCTTTTTTTTTTTTCTTTCTCCAGTATCTCCAAACCCCACCTCCCGATTTTGCATTCGCCTTGCTCTTCTTTGAGCGTGTACTTTTCTCAAAGGCTAATGAAAATTCTGCAGACCTCTGGCACTCTGAATGAGTGTGCTGAACAGCACATTAATACTGCTCTTTAAGAAAAGAGAGATAGAAGGAGAAGGCCAGAGGAAATGGTGGTGGGGAGGCAGGGCGGCAGGGGTGCTCTATAGAGGATAAAGTGGGGGGGGGGAGTGCACAAGTCTGGAAATTCAATTATAACCGTGCCCTGGCAGTAATTCCAGTGGTATTAATGGGACGGCAGAGCGAGAGACGAGATGGATAGAGATGAAGAATGAGAGAAGAAGGGGCGGAGAAGAGACAGAAAGTTGAGCAACAAATGGATTCGAGTTAGCAGCGAAACACGGCACGACGTCAGAGCTCGCATCATTTTTTCATGATCTCGAGACACAGCTCCTGCATATTTCAAGCAGCACGGGGATAATGACATGTTTTCACTCTCATGGATGCAACGCGTTACCCTCATTACTTGCGAGAGTTCTCATCTTACATGCTCGCCGTACACCTCGACATGCTGCCTCAATCGCGCAGCCCTGATCTCGGTAATGCAGCAACAAGGTAACAGATCAACCCACGTGAATCCCCTGGGAGGGCCAGGTTAGCGTTTGATGATGAATGAAGTGCATAAAGAGTCCTAAGACACCGGCACCAGTTCTGCCTGTTTGCCTGGTCTTACTGTCAGCTTCAAATTGCTCACATGCAATTAAAAAAAACAAAAAAAAACAGCCTCATTCTCATTCATATCATTTGCCACATTAGAAGCATGAATGCTGTGACCATAAACACACTACTGTACATTGTGTACACGCAAGTTGGACACTCGCAGAATGACTCACAGACACAAACACACATGCAAAATAACCTGCTCAGGTTGCAGAACTGCAGAGTCCTGTCTAGACGAGTATTTCTCACCTCCTCCTCTTCTTCTGTCCACCTCGGTATTCTGTTTCAACACTCACGGCAAGACGCAGGCTCGGATATCAGTATGTAAGCAGTGTTTATTGGAGTGTCTGTAATGCTGTTTGGTTTGGTGTACATTTAACGTCTGTAGACTGAGTTTCTCCCAGCAGACAGACTCAGTCAGGGGTTACTGTGTGCCATTTCTTGTTTGTTATTTAAATCTAGTACTGTGCGGGCTAAAAAATGGCCTTGTTGGCTTTAATAAAACAAAAATGATGAACACGACGTGTGAGATTAAGGACAGCAGCTTGAAGCCCTCAGAATTTGCTCCAGCCACCCCCGTGTACAAACTCATTAACAGAGTCATAAAGGCAACTAATGAAAATCATGACCGGTATCATTACAAGACCACTGGTGTCCTCTCACCTTTTCCCTCTGCGAGCGAGAGAATAAAGGCAACTAAATTAATGTTCACACCAATAATGTTACAAAAACACCGCCGTCCTTTAAGTAGCAGCTATTCTCCTCTGCGTGTGCGCAGCCACCTAAATTAAAGTTCAGACCAGTGTTGTTGCATAACCGTTTACACTCCACATCTTTGTCCCTCTGTGTGTTTTTCTGTCACTTTCAGGATGACAACTCCATGTTCTTTCAGTTCGGCCCCTCCATCGAGCAGCAGGCGTCAGTCATTTTGAACATCATGGAGGAATACGACTGGTACATCTTCTCCATTGTCACAACGTACTACCCGGGTTATCAGGACTTTGTCACCAAGGTAACCGTGCAGCTGATACAACGCATACAATCAATCAGGATGAAAGAGATGCAGAACTTATGATGTGGATGTGTTCCTAAAAGTCTAGGCATTTTTAAAAATCTAATATCTAAGTTAGATATTAGTCAGAATATTCACTTATACTCCCAAATCTTTGCAATCAGGGATAATAACAATTAAATAATAAAAATAATAATTCAAAAAAAGTCCAAAAATAAATGTAGTTACAAGTAAGATTAAAACATAAATGTACTAACAAACAGACAAAATATATATAATATAATTTTGAATTTGATTTAGACGCTTGATTTTAACACATAAAGCACTACAGTTTTACTCACTAAAACCACAAGTGTGTTAGCCCTGCGACAGACTGGCGACCTGTTCAGGGTGTACCCCGCCTCTCGCCCTATAACAGCTGGGATAGGCTCCAGCACCCCCGCGACCCTGAAAAGGATAAGTGGAAGCTCCAAAAGGCACGGACACGACAAACGCACTTCAGTGTTCAGTGACTCCAATTAGCCTAGCAGTCAGCTATCAGCTACAGAGGCCTGACTTTAAGCCTTAAAAGTTGTTTTAAAAAAAATCACCCTCTGTATAGTTGTCATGAGTAGAAAGATAAATTAAAAGCATTTTGTGTACCAGACTGTAAACACGTGTATTTCAGCTGCAAAGTTTTAACTAGAGATGGCACGATACCACTTTTTTATGTCCGATACCGATACCGATATCATAAATTTGGATATCTGCCGATACCGATATGAATCCGATATAGTGTTTTTTAATCAACAAAACTGTTTTTTAAATATCTTGCTGCATTTTGTATAAGTTCATACTCAAGTTTAAAACAACAACTACACTAAAGCTATTCTGTTATACCTGTATGCAAAAAAAATGTTTCATAGTTCAGCAATACTGATCAATCTAATAAACTTAAACCTACACCATCCTCCCTATTCTGGTATTTTAAAGAGTACTTAGCATAAATATTAAGCAACCTAACTAATAGGGTTCCAACTCCCAGCAACAACAAAAACAAATAAATAAAAAATAGGGAACCACCCCTCACGCTCCACCTCATGATGCTTAATCGACGTAATCAACCTTAATTTGATGCAGTGTGAAAAAAATGCACAGAAATCAATTATTTTTCAAGAAATATTAAATAGATTCAACATCTTTCTTCAACAAAACTGCAGACTGCACAGATGGTACCTTCCCAAAGGAAAAAGTACTATAGCTTACTAGGGTATATATATTAGACTTAATAGTTACTATATACAGTAATGGACTTCTATTCATTTTGCATCAAATTAAAACTTTGGGTGTCAGATAATTATTTATTAAAAGCTAGACATTTTAAATGAGAATAAGAAAGAAAAGTATGTCTTTGTGCCCCCTTTTCCCAGTTAATGCCCTATCGGCCCCCCTGGCTAAACTTTGCTAGATCCGCCCCTGCACAGTTACCAGCGTCAGCTACGTAGAAAAAGATCCTGGAGTAGAAAGTAATATTAAATAAATTCTAACAACAGCTTATCAAGCTTAAACGTGCTGCTGTTGTTCAGCCGCTGGTTTCCTCTTTCTGGTGCAAAGTGGGCCAAAAGCAAACTAGAGACACGGACTCACGACAGAAAAGCTGATCAGCTGATCGTTAAGCAGTTTCATGATTGAAGTAGCAGCAAGAAGAGGCAGTCGCTCCATATATCGTTTGTTAAGCTTAACGCAGGAATGCTTTACAAACATTCAGAGATGGACTTAGGCTACGTTCACACTGCAGGTCTTAATGCTCAATTCCGATTTTTTGATCAAATCCGATTTTTTTGTCTGCTCGTTCACACTACAAATAAAATGCGACAGCAAACGCGCTCTAGTGTGAACGCTCAAAGCGGCCCGCATGCGCAAAAGAAGCTGTCACACACAACGAGCTCTGTTTAGACCCAGAGCAACAGTATTGTTTGACTGATGGCCCTTAATATGCAGACTTCGGACTTCGTTTCCCAATTTTTGCTTTAAGTTATTTTGTTATTTACATAATAATGTAAATAACCTAATAATGATCCTTATTGCTGTTTTAGAGAGGAGCGGTGCTTCAAATGATAGCTGCAGATTTCTGTCAGAATCTGCAGATTACAGTACAAATAAAATGTTCACATTGTCTTCCCAACAGTTTCACTAACATCTACACTGGATGGCCAGGAAGCGTTCGCGATGTCTTCTCGGGCGCTTCTCTGGCGCTGATAATTGGCTTCAGTCTTGTGTCGGTGACGTAAAAGGCGGATTTAATGCGACTTGACCGTTCAAACAGCAGTCGCTTTCTAAAACATCGGATATGTATCGGATTCAGTACCACATACGAAAGTGACCCAGATCGGATTTGAAAATATCGGATTTGCGCCGTTCACACTGTCATAGCATGATCGGATATGGGTCGCATAGGGTCAAAAAAATCGGATTTGATGCGCTTTCGCCTGCAGTGTGAACGTAGCCTTTCACACTTGCTTTACTTCTCTCGGGGATAACTTTGTCGGAGATGAAATGCCGGCTTGCTAGCGAAGCTCCAAATGCTATCCAGAGCACCGACAGGTCCCACATGCCACAGCCGCTCTATCACGTGAGGCATACTGCTCAGACGTGCTAACGTTCTGAGGTGAGTTACGGCGTGTTGCAAGTTTTGTGAGGTGCTTTCGTAATATTTAATGGATCGGATTACATTTTTTATTTTTCTCCGATATCCGATCCAGTAATTTAGGTCAGTATCGGACCGATACCGATACGTAATATCGGATCGGTCCATCTCTAGTTTTAACATGGGAGTCTTTGGAGACTGACTTTCTTTTGAAAGCGCTTGAATAACTGCATGACTGTATTTTTCAGTCCCAGGGGTTTTCAGGTGCTTTGTAACACAAACTGTATGATGCTGATTAGAGATGTGTTTTATAAACATTTAGTAATTTGTATAAACCCAAATGCCTGATCTGTGAAGTGAAGTGCTAAGTAAAAGAAATTCCAATTCAATCTAGTGATGTATCCACTTTGTTTTTAATAAACTGCTTCATCTTGGAACAATAAACTAAAATGCAAGTCAAACACACATTGAAACACACTGTTGACAAAAATAATAGGGTTTGAATTTTTTTTGTCTTGTTAAAGACTAAAGCAAAGTACATTGTGGTAATCAGCCCCTTCTACCTACTGCAGATTCGTAGTACCATCGAGAACAGCTTTGTGGGCTGGGAATTAGAGGAAGTTCTACTACTTGACATGTCTGTGGACGACGGCGATTCGAAGATTCAGAACCAGCTGAAGAAACTCCAGAGCCCTGTTATTCTTCTCTATTGCACAAAAGAAGAGGCCAACACTATCTTTGAGGTGGCCCACTCTGTTGGAATCACGGGCTATGGCTACACATGGATCGTGCCCTCGCTGGTTGCTGGAGATACTGATGTAGTGCCGGCCGAGTTCCCCACAGGTAGGAAATCTGAAACTGAACCAGAGTTCAGACTTAAAATTGGATCACAATGAAATCATAATAAATGATCTTTTATTGCTTTCAACTTAAATCCTACACATGTGGAGTTTAACATTTACATAACATTCAGTGATTAGGTGAGAATTTGGAGTGTTACAAATACATCCATTTTCAGTACAGAAGATTGTAAATGAACCACGGCAGACCCGATAAGATTTTTATGCTTTTCAGCATACTTTGTTATTACTATTGCTGTTCACAATCACACGGCTGCAGCTTTGCAGCTTGCAGTCATACACCTACCAACAACAACAACAAGGCGTGATTGCGGATGCTGCTCAGGTGTGTCCGCCTCCCCTGCAGCGGCCCTGCAAACCACGCCCGCCACAAAGATGTTGCCCTAAAATGCTTGTTTTAAATCATAATTGTACGTACCAAAGTTACCAAAACATGTAAATGGCCCAGCTTTTATTGCTAGTTGTGTCAGCTTTAGCATCAAAGCTGCAACAGACACCTCCGATAATCAAAGATCGGCCTCTGCATGGCTGCTGTGGAAATTTTTGCAGAACTGCGTAGTGGATGCACACTGGATCTGTTGTTTTCTCAGTTCACGCTGCAGCACGTCAGTAGGGTTCAAGTCTTGACTTTGACTTCACCATAAGTTTAGTTTATTGCTTTTAAGCCGTTCACAGGGGGGGTAATTCTTGTGTTCAGGATCACTGCACCACTGCATACCCCAGAGTGACAGACTGATGACCTGCCATTGTCCCCACTGTCACTGTCAGAGACTTTCTTTAAGGGAGCAGAATTCATGTTTTCTGCAATAATCACAAGTCGGCCTGTAGCAACATAGCATCTCCACTTTATACAGCTTCCCTCAGCTTTGACCGTTGGTAGAATGATTTGTTTGTCTTTGTTTGGTTTATGCAAACTGTGATGAGACTCTTGGCCTCGAACAAATCCATAGAGTATTCTTCCAAAAGGTTTTGTTGATGCAAAATTAATAAAAGCCTTAATGTACTGTTGGGATAGCACTGATTTTCACTTTACCAATTCTTGTTGCCATTTTAGCCCAGAGCCTTCAGGTTAGCAGAGTAATAAACTGACCTTTGTTGAGTTTAGACGTGACTTTCTTTGGATGTTTTTGTTGGGTTGTTTGAGACTTTCCAGAAGTTGTCACTGCATTAGAGGAATTCTGGAAGGTCAAGCACCTCTTTGAAAGTTCAATCTTGTTTCAAAATCTTCTTTTATAGATAAATCCTTTGTGGACGTGCCTTAGAAATAGTCTCATAAACCTTTCCAGAAAGATACTTCAATCAAATTTTTTTCCTTGTCTCATGTCTTTTGGCACACTGTGCTAATGTTGAGACTTGAATCGGGACTGGCAATGTATATTGTGCAGACTATATATGAAAGTTAAAGATGGCCACTCAAATGAGGCAAAGAGTTTCCCCGCCCATTGACGTCCTTACAAGTTGACAGCCTGAGGACTCGCCCCCTGCTGGCACTTAGAAAGAACACAAGTTTTAATTTCTTCATTTGCTTCATTTTTCATAAGAAGAAGAAGCTGCAGCCGAGCTGTGGTATATGTCACGGCTGCCGAGGCGAGCCGTGTGGAGTTGGAAGAAGGACCCAAGATGCAGGCAGTGGATGAGATACCGGTGGTTTTATTTACAGAGGTGTAGTGGCAAACAAACAGTGGGGCATAACAAATAACTAAAGACACCTAAACTGGGAGGACTAAAAATAACAGACCTGGGAGCATACGACAACGGGATGAGAAGCAGAGAGACGCAGACAGGGAACAGGACACCGTGGAAGACAGGGTAACAGACTGACACGGAGTTACACAGAACTTAAACAATCATCATCTAGAAAATGATAACAAACTAAAAGCGCTGGGTCACCGACCCAGGACCATGACAGTATATACTGCACCACATTACAGAAAAGCGTTTTGTTTCATTTCCAAAACAGTGATAATGATATAGTAAACTTCTTTTAGATCGGTCCTAAAAGCGACTCTCTGTATTTGAAAATCATGATGATCCGAGTAGAAACAAAACCAAAGACGGACAAAGACGGACGGCAGAACCACTGAAAAGCTATTCCTTAAATTTTCTTTCCAGTTCACTGTTGGATTGTTTTGTAAGACAAACTGACCTTTTCTAACAAGAAATGAGGAAGCCTCTTTTCTCCACAGCACCACCGGAGGTAACCTTTTCAGGTCAAATGTGAAACCAAAGTGATGTCTAAGTTGGGGCACATTAAAACACTCAACCTGCTCACGCAATTTGTCAGGCAAACCTGTCAGGCTGACTCATCGAAAACGACACTCAGCGCTTGGGGGTGGACAGACACTTTTTAGAAAGGCCATCTCTCAGTGGGAATCAAACCTTTAACTGTTAGTGATGTCCCCACCGTGCTAACTAATGGAACTTTCCTCAACTTTTGGCTCTCTGTGGGAGAGAAAACTGTAGAGGAGGTAGTATATCTAAGCTAGACGTATGAGCGCTGTAATTTGTTGGTGTTTGGCTGGTTGATTTACAATGGAGGGGCGAAATTACACTGCCGCCTGTTCTCAGCAGTTTCTGGGAAATGGTTTTCCAGGTGGAACCTGAGACCGTTGTCCTGTTCAGGCACCGTAACTCAAACCTTTTACCTCTGTTCCCCTATTGGCACCCACAGATGATTTACTCTTGAGTGGGAGCTAGGAGTGTGTTTGCAGGCCGGTCTGTATGTGTGTGTGTGTGTGCTTTTGTTTTTGTTTCAGTGTGTGATGTCTATGTGCATTTGTCTGTGAAAGTTACGATTGGTTCAGGGTTTAATTTGCATGAGAAAATAATGAGCGAATGTAATCAAATGGGTTGTGTGTTTGCGCACTGCCGTGTACTTCATATGGTGAAGGACGACCGGTGTTTACTCGTTGGACAGGGTGAACCGAATTCTGTGCGCGTTTGTGTCACTCTGTCTGTTACAAATTAGGGTTCCACTCTATAAAGTTTGATATATCACCGTATCAGTTATGTAAATCACACAACAACGTCCCTCTTGATTTATGTTGCCACTGAGATAATCGCGTCTCGCTCATGTACCGCCTGGATGATTGCAAAGTAGAGCTGCGTCGATGGACACACACAAAACTCTTTCAGTTAACACTCAATTATCATGACATGACTCACATGGGACAAAATGACACATTTCAGGCTAAATGTCGTCCTCCTGTTTCGTGCGTGATGAACAGGATACAGAATGTGCCAAAATAACCGCACAGAATTCTCAAAGTAAGAGGACTTTTTATGATGTCGCTTGTGTCAAAAACATGATTATTTAGATCATACCTTTACTTAAAATGTCATTAATACAGTGTTTTAAGACAGCGTGCAAAGAAACCATGAGTATCCAGATGGCCAAGCTTTGATTCACAGCTCTTCTCCTGTAGGATCTGTGCTTGTTCGTGCTGCTCCTGCCAGAAATATGAAAGTGATGGTTGGCTGACGAGTTTCCTTTAAACAGCTTCAGCAGTGACAGTCTGTAAAACCTGTACTGAGAACAGCCTCACCTTTCTAATCACTAAAATGCTAAAGCTTTCCAAATGCCTCTGCTTTGTGGTTTTGTCTTGAAGTGCAAAAACGTAGAAGAATAGCATCAAAATCCTAGCAGCCTAAGAAAGTTAGCAACTGTTAACTCTATATTGCCCTGACAGATATTTATCAGCTTGATGACATATTGGCCTATAACAAACACGAGTCTACATATGACAACATATGAGTTGTCCAGAAAGACGCCAATTTAAAAACGTTATTTTTTTCTGGAGTGAAGCAGCGTCTTTGTTGCCGGTTCCTTTTTAAAAAAAAAGATTATTCTTATTTATTTTTTTGCCTTTCAGCCTTTATTGGGTAGAAACAGTGGAGCTAGTCAGGGAAGAGGGGAGAGAAGGGAAGACATGCAGCAGAGGACTGCAGGTCAGACTCGAACCCGGGCCTACTGCTCTCTGGTCAATACTTCCAGGCATGTAGACACGAGTAAGAAGACCCGCTGAAGTTCTGAATATCTGAATGGGGATTAAAAAGGTCATTTCAGTGACCGAACGTGGCGTAGTTGTTGTTGTCAGAAATTGCTGATCCACTGGGATTTTCCCACACAACCATCTCTAGGGTTTACAGAGAATGGCCTAAAAAGTGATCGAGTAAACAGGTTTTCTGAAGGTGAAAATGAAAATAACCCCTCATTACAGCCGAGGTATTCATATAAACACAAAACACATTAAATCTTGAAGCAGATGGACTTCAACAGCAGCTAAGAGCAGGAAACTGAGGTTATTGTTTTCACAGACTCACCAAAATTGCACAATAGGAGTTTGGAAAAACACCGTCTGGTCTGATGAGTCTTGATCTTTCTTAAGGTATTCCATGTGAGAGTCAGCTTTCATACCGTTTAGGTATGAAAACATGGATCCACCCACGTTGTATCAGTGGTTCAGGCTCGTGGTGTTGGTGGAAATGGTGTTGGGGACGTCTTAGTTCCAATTAAGCATTACTTCAATGTCACAGCCTGCCTAATTATTGTTGCTGACCATGTCCATGGATGCTTTCAGCAGGATAATACACCATGTGACAAAGCTGAAACCATATCAGTCTGGTTTCTGAGTTTACTCAGTGCCTTGAATCTATGAGGAATTAAGCAGCTCTGAACACAAAAGATGATCCAACGTGGGACTAGCAAGGTGTACCTAATAATGCAGCTAGTGTGTGTATGTAGGACATGCTTGCATGTTTGTTTGTGGCATCAGTTGGGATAGTTCTGGAAAAACCAACATGCCTTGTGTAAGCATCGAGATCAGAAAAGCCAAATTAAGCCTGCAGCAAGTGGCAGTCAAGCGCACCAACTTCTGAATCAGCACAGAGTGAAATGACACCGCGACACCGCATGTGACTGTTGGTTTCCTCTGTGGACTCTGGCGGTTCAGGGTTCACCAGGAGGTGCATGCTAGCTGTGGGCCTAATTTACTTACAAGGCACACTTAATAATTTGCACCGTGTGTGATGAAGCGCCTCCAAATCTCACGGGTAATTCCGCTGATCCCTTCCTTAAGTAGCGCTTTGGGAAACCATCTCTTCACCCACTCCTTCTTCCTTCTTGCTTCTCTATATTTTGCTGCTGTTCCCTCACTTTTCTGTTTTTTTCTTCTGTGTTACTATTTCAGCCTCCTCTGACTTGCTCCCAAGTCTCAGCTCCCTTCATCTTCCTGTGTTTCTTGAGTCTGTATCTTTGTGTCTCTGCTGCTGCCTGACTTTCTCTCTCTTCTGCTCATTCTGTCACTCTTTCCCCTCCTCTTCCCTCTCAGCTCTTTCTCTCCTACTAACAGCCTTTCTGTCTCTTTTTTCCCTTGATCAAAGTTGCACACTACTGCCACACACACTGTGTTAATGTAACCACCCAGTCTGACATCACTGGCATTAATAAACTGTTTCCAGAAATATCTGCTGTTATGCTTTCCGATCAGTTTGCTTATTGTGGATGCGTTATGTCTGCAGTGTGATTTAGGTTGTATGTGTGAGAGGGAGATGTCCTGCCACATTGTAATACCTTGTTACACGCCCAAAAGAGAGCTGCGACAATAAGACATCAAACCGTCCGCCCGCGTGCTCCCGACACACACGTCTCGCCTATGTCTTCCTGGGAAGAAAGTCGCGCCCTTAAAGCAATAAAAAGTCAAGCATGTAAAAAGGAACGGGGAACGGAGCGAGTGGTGAGAAAGTGTCGACAATGTGTGACATGAGATGTGGTCCTGAAGGGCCCGAGCTGTCAGTGCAGAGGCCCCGTGAGGAAGGCAGGTTGCCAGGCTGCCTGTCTATTTCTGCACGCTGACATGGTAGCGGGCTGGCTGACATGTGGTCATACATTGTCAGATAGATGCAGACCTGCTGATGGACAGAAAGATGGACAGATTAAATAGAAGAGAGTCAGATAAATTACAAGCTTACAAACCCTGAGAGCTTGAACCCAGGGGGCCTCTAATGGCTCCTAAACAATCAGCTGTTGGCTGTTTTCAGAAGTCATAAAGGCATTTTTGTAGCCAATTTTAAACGCGGAGGTAGTTAAGACTTTTGACTTGAAAGGTTTGAGCGTTAAATTGTTTGTTCGGCAATGCCTACCACTGCTTCAGCCACTGCTGTCACACCTTCTCTAACATGACCACCGAACACAGAAACGCTTGCTTTTTTCTTAAAAGAAAAAAAAAAAGATTTCCATGTTTGCTGATTGGATCCTTTTAGTAATAATTGGGTGGTGAACATTTTAACTTTACACCACCCAATTAATATTAAACTTACACCTGCTCCAACTTTGAACTGTAACCTAAGCCAAGAAGGCATGAAATTGTTACCAAATGATGCTCCAAAATGAATCCTTGTGTACCGTGCTTAAGGACAATCCCCTTGTTGGGGCGACCGTGGCTCAGGGGTTGGGAATCGTATCTGTAACCGAAAGGTCGCCGGTTCGATCCCTGGGCTCTCTGTCCTGGTCGTTGTGTCCTTGGGCAAGACACTTTACCCTATTTGCCTACTGGTGTTGGCCAGAGGGGCCGATGGCGCGAAATGGCAGCCTCGCTTCTGTCAGTCTGCCCCAGGGCAGCTGTGGCTACAACTGTAGCTTGCCTCCACCAGTGTATGAATGCGAGAGTGAATGAATAGTGGCATTGTAAAGCGCTTTGGGTGCCTTGAAAAGCGCTATATAAATCCAATCCATTATTATTATTATTGTTAAATCCAGCATGATGAAGTCCTGAACCGCTGAACACGGGAACTTAATGACTGGTCATTAAAAAGAGATAAAGATTTATTGCTGGGAAACATGCACCATGAGTAATCAATTAATGATGACTATTAGTCATGGGTTTATTGTAATTAAAATTGAATATTGTAATGGATTTTATTGCCAATAACAGCTGTTTAATATCAGTGAAACTCATTTTCATAGCATCTGTGTTTAATACATCCCAAAGAGCCTAACAGTAAGTTAATGCCTTTTTTTAAACAAAAAATGTAACATTAAGAAAATATTTTCACATTCATGCAAGTTATTGTCGGGTTTTTAGGATACCTACAGGAAATTTTGTGTTTGCGATTCGCTGCCTGCCACCAGGCTGTCCTCAGCCTCGAGAATGCTTCGAATACCTACAGAGAAGGACGTGGTGGAGGAACGACAGGTATCCTGGCAAACAGCTGAATGGGCTGATGGGCACTTGGAAGGGCATCGGGAGAGATGGGCATGGAGGCACACAGACAGAGAGAGACCTGCAAATAAATATTCCTAAACATTTGACAGATTGTCAAATGCGAACAGGAGTCGGGCAGACAGAAGGACAGATAAGCAGGCGTGCGGAGAGTGCAAAGGCCGACAAACAGACCGTACAGAACGTACTTTAGACAGACAGATGGACAAACACAGCAAGATGATAGACTCTTAGTCAGTCAGAATGGGAGTGCTATTCATCTGCTCCCTGAGTCACTACGTAGTGTATGCTCTGTCTCTTGGAGTGTGTTCAAAGCATGTACACTCTATATATCCTAGCACACTGATCCCCCTGTCTCCCCGGTTTAGTTTCCTCCATCTGTCCGTCTCGCTGTGTCTTCACTTTCCTCCGTAGAATCACTCCTTCCCTTCTCACCTCCCTTTAAAACAAAAAACCCCTCATCTACCTTCTTTCTCCATTTCCTCTAAACGATCTCTCTCCTCTTCTTGCTTCCAGGCCTGCTCTCTGTCTCCTATGATGAATGGGACTACGGCTTAGAGGCGCGGGTTCGCGATGGTGTGGCGATCATCACTATGGCGACTTCTACCATGATGATGGACCGCGGGCCTCACACCCTCTTGAAGTCTCAGTGCCACGGAGCTCCTGACAGAAAGACCCCCATCTCAGGCAACCCCAACGAAGTGCTCAGGTGAGTGAAGGTGGAGAGGGCGTAGCATGTCAGAGCAGCATGATCACACTTAATGGACCCAGTCTCAGTTAGTTTATCTGGTTTCGTCGGCACTTATAGTATTGCACGCAAAGCAACACTGTGACATTTAGATGTACGATTCGAGGGTCTTTGTTGTCATTATGCAAGGATAACGAAATTATAGTTTTATTTTCATTTTTCTACATTTGTGACACAACTTCCAGTGATGCTGGAAATAATTAGAGTCCGTCTGCTATCAGTTTACAATGAATGGAGTCGAGTTGGCAATGGCATGCAGTCTGTTGCGGTGATTAACACAGTGAATTAAATCAGTGAAAATCACAAGTCTGTTGCTGTCTGCATATACAGAAATTTGCATTAATCACAAATTCACATTAGCCACTTATACTCAGAGTCCAGCCAGAAACAGAATTTCATGCCCCTTTACTGTTACCTGGACAAATACCTGTTAGTTAACAGAAGTCTGAGATTGAACTATGATCTGGCACATCTTCATCCAGTTCTGAAACCGCAAAAAAACTTTTAAGCAGGGAAAACAAAAAGATTAAGTAGCATTAAGTGACATCTTGGATCTTACTTTTATTAATCACAGAGCTTCTGGTGGTGTGGTTTGCGTTCTTTATCAGTAAGCCTGCTTTCCCATAAAACGTTCAGCTCTCTGCTGGATGTTGCCACTTGCGCGCTGCTTGAATATGTCATTCTGCAGTAGTCTCGGTGTTCTCTAGGAACCACGATCCTTTTCCTTTGCTTTCTGCCCTGCAGCAAGCCGGCACATATCTCACGAAAACCAGCTCTGTGGTGCAAACCATACACTTCTGTACAATATAGAAGAAATGCCACAAAGCACTGGTCGTGTTTGTCTAAAGCTGTTTATTCACGCTAATGTGTCTGAGTTGATGTGCGAGTCATTTGTGGATGTTGCTTTAAAATTGCAACGTTCTGGTGGTCTAACATCCCCACGATCACCATGGCACCGTCATCATTGGTGCAGCAGATGTTGCAGCATGTGCGTGTTAGCATCTCCATCCCCTGCACGCTGTGATCATCCTCCCCCCACGTAATAATACCCTATGCACAAACACCCCTTCACATGCTGCCATCTTCAGGAAAACCGACCCCACCCCTTCAGCTGTCCGTCCCAGCAGCAGGCCTTTTGAACTGGATGTGAAGCCTAGCGTTGGGCTGCGCTTTGCTCTGCGCGCCGCCTAATTGGTCCCAATGGCGTTTCAGTCGGCGAACACTATCCCCTGTCGTGCTGCGCTCCAGAGCTCAGCGCAGCATTATATTCAGTGGCGGTTTCACCCCTCCGCGACTCTGCGCGTCTGCTGGAGATAGATGTGCGTGGGTATGTGTGTTTTTATTGCCCTAAAGAGAGACCAACTGTCAAGGAAAGCCACGTGTGCATGTGTGCACAGGTGTCGTACAGGGCAGCATATGTGTGTATGCTTGCTAAAGAGACTGTCAGTATCGCTTCAGGACACCGGTGGCAGATCACAGACACTTGCACAGAAAACGAAATGCACTGACCCCTTTTGGCTGATTCAGACAGATGTATAGATGCACAAATAGTCTTTTTCTGCCTTCTCCTGCAATTTTTCTGCTGAATGCAAGCACGCATACATCCCGAAATACTCTTCTCACGCTCATAAGACGCCAGAGAAACGTGGAGCCTACTGTGGAAACTCGGGCTCTTCTTTTGGGATGTGTGTAATTTTTTTGCTCATGGTCAAGCTTAACTGCATCCTGCTCAAAGGCAACAAAACTTTTGTTGTCCAGTCAACTCTTTGGATGTCATTTCAGCCCCTGCCTGTTGTTCTCTACTTTCTGAACCTTTTGCATTTGTTTCACCACTGCTTACTGCTTTGAGATAACAGTGGTGTTTATGGCAGCTGCTCTTGCCCCAGAATACAACCCCCTCCTCTCTCTTCTGTTCATGTGTTTGCCTCGCTGTGGTCTGCTGCGCACTGCTTTGTTCTTCTCAACTCTGCTGTGGTCTCTCTGCCGCGTTCTCTCTGCTCTGCTCGGCTGTCCTCTCGCGCCCCGTAGTCTTCTGTTTTTGTTCTGCCCTGCTCTGCTTTTTTCCCCCTACATCTGCTCTGCTTTGTTCTACTTTTATTCTGTTCTGTGGAGGGCTGCTCTACCGTTTTATCTTCTCACACCTCCTCGCCTCTCCTCTTGTCTCCTCTCCTCTCTTCTCTAGTGATTTTTCCTCTCATCTCTACCGTTCTGCTCCTCCCTAGTTGGTGCCTGCGCTGCAGACCTGCAGTTTTATAATCAACTTAGCTGTGTTGTTGATTAGATCAGTTGCAAACACTGCTAAGATCCTTTGCCCCTTTTCTGCTTTAACTAAATTTGTTTGGTGATAACCTTTGTCTTCAAGTGTTCAATCAAGAGATTAGCATTTGGCCTAGAGTCTATATATTAGAAAGTGAACGAACGCCTAGTTGCCCGGCTTGCGTGGCTGCTTGGCTGCATGGACCGATGCCCACCCGCTCGATTCGTTCACTACTAAGTGAGTCAACGAATGAAAGATGGATGGACGGCAGCTCAATCAAAAAGCTCTTTCCTGCGCCTGGGAAGCCTTACATTCTGTGTTCTCTCCAGTGAATACAAACTCCATTTGTAAAAATTTCAAGCAGACCTTTAAAGTAAATCATTAATAAACCAAGCAGGGGCACAATTAATTCTAAGCTGTCGAAAATGGCATTTAGCAGCTAAACCTGAAAATGAAGCTTTCATCTCAACATATTAAGCTGGAAAAACATCCATGGAAAATGGACCAATCAGAAACTGATTCACTGATCAATATAGGTCCCGAGCTTGCCCCACTGCTAAGTCACAATCCACATGTGCCAATCTGAAACATTTAGGTAAATAAACTAACTATTAGTGCTATAAAATTGGGTGCTTTAATGTTTACACACACACGCTACATATTTTACTTGTAAACCCATATTTTTACTGTGATCTATGGTGGCCCTGAGAGGTCAAACATACTTAAAAAAACAGCAGCAAATAGAAAAGTGCAGCAAAACACACGAACCACAACGGAAATAGAAAAATACACAGCAAACGCTGACAAAAACAAAACACAACAGAAGTGTTTTTAGGGACACAAGAATGTGTCGGACGAGCTGCAGAAGTGAAGCTAACAGTAAGCAAACATGCTAACAGCAAACATGTATCTACAGCGGGGGTGGGCAATCTCAGTCCATGAGGGCCGGTGTCCCTGCAGGATCTCACCTTGGGTCAACACATCTGAATCACATGATTAGTTCGTTACCAGGCCTCTGGAGAACTTCAGGACATGTTGAAGAGCTAATTTAGCCATTTAAATCAGCTGTGTTGGTTCGAGGACACATCTAAGACCTGCAGGGACACCAGCCCTCGTGGACTGAGATTGCTCACCCCTGATCTACAGTATTATATGACAACATAGATGAATCCTCAGCTTCTTTTCTCCATGTGATCCTTTGCATTTCTTAGTTTCTGGTACATTATAAACCACGGCCGCTGCAGATAGCCTACAGGGTAGAAGTTCTCCAGTTGGGGATCTCAGGTTTAAAGAGTGGTAGCAAGTAGCGAGAAGTACCTGTACCTTCTTCTTGCTTTAGATATATTCCACAACATTTTTTTAGGATGTCTTTGAAGTGCGTGATTAAGAATCTGAAGCAGATGGTGAAGAAATCAAGGAAGGACGGTGGCAGTTATCCATTTTTAAACCTTCTTAAAAGCCGATGATTATATGGAAATACATATGTCCCAAAGTACGAGTGAAAAATTTGTATTGTAGCTCCAACACAAGTTGGTCCAGCTTGTGGATTATACACGAGCTAGGTCAGTAAGAGATGCATGGGAATATGTAAATTGAATCTAGTTTACATTTCAATCTGCTGGTGAACGAGGAAGACTGGCTCTAAGGTCACGGTCATCTACTCGAATTTATAAGCCATACATTAGCATTTTCTTGTTCGGCCCTCAGTGCCTCATAGAATACCACAAGAGAAGGACGCGTCACTCCACTAAGTAAATTAAGTCCATTGTAGCCAGCGCTGTGACATTCCAGCTAATTCTACAGCATGAGCCTGACAAATGAAGATAGCAGGAAGGGGAAGAAGAAGAGTGCAAAGCACAGAGGAGAGGGAGGGACAGAGCGAGGGAGAGGTGGCAGTAGAGGCCAGCAGCGAGCAATACACAACAGTGTGAGAATCATGAGTTTGACAACACTGGCCCTGACCTTGCCAGGCGTGGACAGGTTCCAGATGAGGTTGGTCTTGGAAAGGTGTCAAGTGCTTTTAAGCTCCGTGGGCATTTTTGAACTTCTGTGGCCTCAGTAAGGCTTTCAATATGGGGTATATATCTATATATATTTAAGCACATACACGTGTGTGCGTCAGTGTGTTGGTGTGTGCTTGCACGCATGCTCTGGATACAGAACAATCTGCAGTTGCATTTTGACCCTGTTGCGCTGAGAAATGCCAACTCAATGGGACCGTGTCTGACTCGGTGTTTGCGCGTGTCTTTGTGTGCATGTGCGTGTGAGTCTGTGGAGCCCAGCTGGATGTGTGTGTTTATGGGGCAGGCAGTGGGAGGTGGCAGATAGGTACCTGTTTTTGATGGGGCTTGATTGGAAGTAGGTCAGGAATCCTCTCTCCTCTTTCTTCCATCTCCCGTCTCTCCATCTTTATTGCCTTGCTCCTCCTAAATCTTTTCATCTGTCCTGTCACTAAATCTCTTTTTGTCTGCCAGGTTTATCCAGTCCTCTGCTTTTCTGTGTTTCTTATTTTATCTCACATAATCTTTTCCTTTCCCCAGTATTTTTTATTACATCCTTCTCGCTCTTTTCCCCTCCCCTCTGCTGCATCCCATCTTCACCTACCTCCTTTTTGCTGCAGGCTATTATAATTTTCAATTTGTATAGCAGTACAGTACATAGGTTTGTCTTTTAAGGTTTTTGAAGTTTTATTCCAAAATGCTCT